GGGGGGGGGGCCCACTGTGGAAGTATAAGGACGGTATCGTGTTGGGCGTGGCAGAATGGATCATGCGGTCGTACCAGAGGATTGAGGAAGCGAAGTTTATTTATTATTTATATCAAATGACAGGCGTTTTGATGCTCATCATTAGTCCTTTAGTTGACTTCAGGCTTTGCAGAGAGGAAGGAACATAGAAGGGATAAAAGTCGAGAGGGGGATGAACATAAGAGTGTTCCAAAGATGAAGGTAGATAAAAAGTAGTCGACTATGGCATCCAGTGGGGGTGGTGGTAGTTTGAAGTCAGAAGTCAACTGCCAGTTAATAGACTATTTTTTTTCCTATTGAGTATACGTTGGCCAGAGTGCACCACGTGGAGGTAAGTCTATCGCACACCCCTGAGGAAGCAAAGTAGTAACTAATTGATTAGGGTACGCACAACCACCTCATGATAGGCTGGTTGTGTCTTTGGTGCAATTAACTATCCAACTATCGAGCAAGCACGTGAATCTCGCATTCAGCTGTAGTGATTAGATGCATCGACGCTTACCGGTCATTGGAGTTCACAACATGTAGGGGGGGGGGCTAAGTTGTGGTGGGNTGGGGGGTGGGGGGGGGGGGGTGGAGGGTAGGCTATAGGGTTTATTTTTAAATGCGTCCTCTGTACTTTTACTAAGAAAAAATAAATAAATATTTCATATCAATTCACGTCGGTACTACCAAGGCCTTGATCAATGCTCCGATCTCCTGAATGAATTAATTCTTCTTCTGTTTGGAGATTAATGTATTTCCGGCTAATGATCGCAAAATATCCACAATAAAGTTGCAGTAGGAAGAATAGTGTGGCATCTTATTAATAAATGAATCTTTTGATAAACGATTTTCAGTCCTTACAGGATTCCGCTCTATGTAGAAGTTTAATTTATTTATACCAAATGGCAGGCGTTTTGATGGCTATCATTAACCCTTTAGTTGACTTCAGGCTTCATAGAGAGGAGTTGGAACAACAAAGTGAAAAAAAGTCGAGAAGGGGGGAAAGGAAGAGTGTAAACAAGACAGACCAAAAGGTAGAAGAAAGTTGATGTGAGTACTGTGGAAATAGTCGAATATGGCATAGAGTGAGGTGATGGTAGTTTGAAGTGAGAAGTCAACTGCCAGTTAATAGACTTTTTTGCCGTATGACTATACGTTGCAACGGATGCACCACGTGGAGGTAAGTCTACCGCACACCCCGAAGTTTAATTCATGAGTTCAAGAAAAAAATAACAATCTCATAATTAAATAATTTTTTTGCGTGAAATGCCAAATAATATTTGCCTACTTTGATTTTCTCCATGGCAGAGGTACATCAGCATCTCGCTTGACTTGGATCCCAGCAATGCTTACTGCCATATTCTCAAGGGCCGATGGTGTTATGAAGTAAGTCGATCTCAATTACATTCAGCACATTCATCTCAATTTCAACCTTTCAAATGGGCTTTAATTTCAATGAAGGTGGATTTCGCGCCACTTCGATGACAATGAGCCTCCAAGTTGGCCAAATCCATTAGTGTGCAAACATGTAATTTAAGGTCTAACGTGTAGGTTGCTGTAACCGACAGTTAAAAAACCAATCGAGAATATTAGGTTGCATAGTTTTTTTCTGGCGATGGAATACTGATTGGAGTGAGTACCAATTCTTGTGGGCGATTAACTATGTGCTCCTTGGGTTGGTATCATCTTGGAACAATCCAAGTTCCCATATCACATTCAATCTACCTTTAAGTAGATTTTACACCAAACTTGATTTTATTTCGATCTTTCATTATGTTTTTTTTCTCACCACACAATCCCTTAATAATAACGGCACAGCTCACCTCAAAGTTGAGGAAATAGTTACCTTCAGACGCTGTGTCTTCCTTTATTTCCTTCTCTCGTTTTTCTTCCAATCTGCTCTTTTATGATTGGGGGGGGGGGGGCTTTCTCTTGTAGCAACTTTCTTTTCCCCTAAACTTGCGTACTTCTGGTGTTTTTTTTTTAATTTCTTTCAAATGCTTCTATCTGTTTTAGGTGTACCAAGTATGTTATATCTGTTGTGAATCCCACGTATTCGCGTAGGGTCTAACGCTATGCTCATATTTTTGATCATCAAGTTGTGTTCATGTTGTGCTGTACTGTGCTCTTGTTTATCCTGTACTTCTACGCTATTTGCAGAGGTTAAAAATGCACAAAATGGCCATTTCGGTTACTTGTTTTGTATATAATGGGCTAATTTACTGCAAACTATATTGTAGAAATTTTGCTAATTCATTGTTCGATTTGTTTATTGAGTGTTGGTGGGGGGGGGGGGGGGGGGGGGGGGGGGGGGGNGGGGGGTGGGGAGGGGAGAGAATTGCCAGCTTTACTCCTTCCTTACAATGTTAGCTTGCTTCTTACATTTACACTATTTTTCCTCTGATATTTAATTAGTTGGTTGTGTTCACTAGGTTAAATGGCTTATTCCGACCACATATTTTTCAGGTGTACAATCTATCTTGGGTTGAACGTCAAATCGCAACGCGTTTATTTGCAACGCCACCTTCGGCCACTCTAGAAGAAGCTAAGTCTGAGTTTCTCGAGGTAATAAGCTGCTTATTGATTTTTAAGTAGCATTTTTGCACACAATGGCCTCATCTCGCCAATTAATTTGCCTAGGCTGAGCGCTTGGCTCAAAATCAATGGGCGGTCAACGCAATCTTCCTCGCTCGCTGCTATTATGCTGAATCAAATTACGAATCTGCCGTACAGTGGCTAAATTCAGCCAATAGAATCCTCAATCAAGCGATAATTTCCACTGATGACGATAATAGTCAAGAGGTTGATGAGAATAACTCATCGAGCGTGGAGCATGTTGGTGATCTCGTAGCGGAGTGGCCTTTTTTGCAGAAGGAATTGGAAGAGCTGTTGCCTCTCTATCGATCCTATTTACCTAGATGAGAGAACTAGCTCTGGATGGAGCTTTCGCTCTGCTTTATTATTAGTATTTGACTTCGAGATTTGTGTGATATGCATATCGTCCTACGTTCTGATAGTATTAATTTGCTTTTATATTTTATAAAACTAGTAAGTTGTGTTATCCTTAGTCTTCTTTCTGCTTCTGTGTTACTTCTGTTTGCTTGAGCATAAATGGAGTGAACGGATTTGAGGTGGCTTCGTGATTATTCTTCCTGTAATCTTTAGGCTAGGCTTTGGATGTACTCCGGTGAATTATATTTTTCTTCTAGCATTTTACAAGCAACATTGAAGTAATAAATAGTAATTAGTTTACAAAGACAAGGAATTGGCATGAAAGATGCGCATGGGAGGTGTCTGCATTGAAATTTAAAAAGTGGTTCTTCATATCTGTAAGGGAACGTGATTATGCACATCGAAACTATCTAAATGGTATTGCTATAACATTTTGAACATCAAATAACTCTATATTTAATTGTGTTGATTAAAAGGCGCTCATAAAGTTTTGCAATATGATTTTTATTTGATCAAGCAAGTTGATTGTTTTTATGGCACTTCAATGACAAAGCCTATGGCAACGCAGCGGTAAAACATTCGAACTTAACATTCAACCAATCAAATGTAAATCACTTAATATTTTGCTATTTAAATCTGACGAATCTGGATTTCGGTTATCAGAACATTTTTAAGTGAAATATTAAGAAATTATGAATATTTCTGGCATTCTGCTTCCTATTATTTCATTATTTAATGATGGACATTTTATAAGTGAATGATTATTTCATTAAATTACTGCAAATATATATTCACATTAATAAGCACATATTTCTTTAGTTTCATAATTTTATAAATTCGCAATCTTAAGGAATATAATTATAATATTTTAAACATAGATCGAGTTGGAGATTAACATGCAGCAACCCAGATGCCCAAATGCAAGACTCCCTCGGCGTATGATATTTCTTTATTTTAAAATTGAAATTTTCAAACCTTAAAATTAATACCGGTATTTAGTCCCAGAAACCGTTCTCAGACGAAGCACCTCTATCGAGGTTTTCTGCCAAGATCAAAATAACTCATCTCCTCAAATCTCACCAAATCGTAGAATTCATTCCGCAAATCCAGTGTTAAATACTGTATCTCCCCTTGAATCAATAGATCCGTCATTTCTCGAATTTTTACCTGGTTCTCATAAATCATTTGAACCAAATCAACCAGAGTCTTCACATGAATCACTTAAATCGAATCAACAAGCCTCTGTTCCATTTCAGAGTGGTAACAGCGGGGCCTATGAATTCAGACTCTTAAAAGTAAATTTAAATTTTTTTATCATGAATTTTATTATGTACAAATTTGACTTTAAAATAATTATTAACCTATTAATGGGAGCTCAATTTTTCATTTATTTTATTCGAAACCCCATATTACGCTGACTATAGCTAAAAAATGGCTTATTTATAAAGTGGTAGTAAATTTGTAAAAGTTAGAGTCATTAGCAATCTGATTGTATTTCTTCTTATCAGAATATCCACGTCAATCAGCATTTCTCGTTCTTATTAAAGTTAGATCATCGTAACGATCCTCCATCAATCTCCAGAGTTCCTGAATCAGTGCCACACCTTCTCCACTTAGCAAAAATTCCTGACACTTCAAATAACCATCTAGTAAGTCTTAACTTCCTTAATGAAACGACCTATTTAGATGGAAGGCGACATTTCTCCACCGAAACTTTTAAGAACTGAATTACCCACAAATGTTGAAGAACCAAGTGCTCAAAAGGTTTGATTAGTGCTTTATTTCGCTTAATCATGCTCGTTCTGTTAAGATAAGCAACAATACCGCCCAACCTATTCAGTCAACGCCTTTGAAACCTGAACTACGCTGGAATTTCGATATGCATGCCAATCAACTTGTAATATAATAATCTGAAATATTTAATCATTTAAGATGAAGATTGATCGTATGTATAAAACCAAGCTTCTCCGGATGAATCATGAGTTGCGTTATTTGAGGTAATTTATTCTTTTAATTTCTCTAATCAAAAAAATAACTATCAATCATGATATTCTTTCGCTTGCGTCTTTTTACTCGATGATGATAAAGAAATATCATGTTAAATATCCGAATTTATTTCAATTGAATCGGTCTGTGAAATGATTGTTTATTTCTGATAAGAATGAAACGCTTGATCAAGATGGTGGGAGAAACAATGTCGAAAGTTAGTTTTGTTGGGTGGGGGGGGGGGGGAAGGGGTGAGGGGAGGAGGGGAGGAGGGATAGTTTGGGAAATAAAACAAAATTTCTGAGTCCATATGTAGTAATCATGTTGTGCACATCTTAATTTACATATTAAAGCTTTCGCATAGGCCACCCACTGGGCTGTTCCCGCCATCGCCTTCTCTTACCAGACACGTTTACAATTAGTGTCAATGACACTGAACATAGTCAGACTACCATCTTTTCCCCACGCATTTTGCTCGATGTGGCTATTACTTTAATCGAGGAGAGGAGTTCTTACCTGGAATTCGAGTCCAAATCACACTCCTTTTCCCACTTAGTACCTACTATGGAAAGCATTAAGTATTCCCTACTTTGGCAATTGATTATTTCGATAAAAGCTCTGTGCAGGCTTGCTCAGTGGTTAAAGTCTATGAGTCATTAAGTGTGCCGCGAGATTTCTCATGTTTCCATTTCTTCCAACACTAGCACCTATTCGCCTCCTGTTGCATAGATCCAGGATCATTCACCGATCTGGGCTCTGAATTGCCTTAACTTAGCTATCATCCACATTAAGATAACCATTGGGAAGATTAGGTTCAATAAATGTTTCAACTACTTTTGCTCAAGTTTTAACCCCAAAACACCGGCCTAGGGTTTACTAGCTGCCTTCCTGATATTATGCTTTCAATCATCATCAGTTTCATACCAGGGGAGCCATAATATTCGTGCTCAATCCAGTTAGTTGACTCATCAGTAAGCTCTGAAGATTGCGGATATTAACTCCACTTACTTCTGAAGTATAGGGGTGTGCGATAGACTTACCTCCACGTGGTGCACCCTGGGCAACGCATTTTCATATGGCAAAAAATAGTCTATTAACTGGCAGTTGACTTCTCACTTCAAACTACCATGACCCCACTGTATGTCATATTCGACTGCTTTCACAATACTCATCTCACCTTTTTTCTACCTTTGTGTCTGTCTCTTTTGCATCTTTGTCCCCTTCTCGATTTTTTTTTCACTTTGAAGTTCCTACTCCCCTCTGTGAAGCCTGAAGTCAACTAAAGGGCTAATGATAACTACCAAAACGCCTGCCATTTGGTATAAATAAATAAATATTCTGAAGTATGAATCTTAATGGCACTGAAACGCGATGTTTCAAACTAAATCCATTTAGTAACTAAATAAAATTTTTTTCCATAACAATTAATAATCGATTTGATTGGTTAAACTTATTTCCAATACCCTCCAGTAATTAATTACTAACACGTTTCCTTTATCTCTGAGTTATGGCCTTAGCGGAATGGAGTAATACCTGGTTTGATTAGTTCCTCCTATTTATTCCAGCTAATGTTTTGTGGTTGCCATGACAGAATTCACTTCCATGTGTAGCGGATTGCTGCCTTAGTAAAGCCTGACTGACTCAGAAATCTCTATGGCAGATTCTCCTACATCTAGCTAGACTCCCAGAACCAGCTAAGCTATAGCCCAGC